CTGAGCTTCACCAAACACAGCCCTGTGATCCAATGTAGCGCATGCGCCCTGCCGGAGGACTGGCAGACAACAATAACGCGAGAATGACTGGCAGCAAGACCATAGGTCCAGTCACCGCCTTCTGGGACTACAATAGGGAGCCGGGCGAGGGCGAGCGCCGTGCTTGGCTCGAGAACGCCGCTACCGCCGTCCGCACTGCTGCAGCAGGGCACGGAAGAGAAAGAAGACGAGGACGAGATCCAAGCGGTGCAGACAACCGGGGACAAGGAGGACGGGGGCGGCGGACCGGACGAGGAGGAGGAAAAGAGAAAGAGGAAGAGATGGGACTGTACTGAGATGACCCCGAAGATTCGGCCGGGGAGGAGCTGGAGTCCGAACCGGTCTATGTGATCTACATGGACCAGAGCGCCGAGCTGCAGCTGGAGGCGCCGCCGAGATGGTTGTGCCGGGGGCCCGAGGTGGTTCCCCACCCCTCGCGGACGGCGCAGAGCTGATCCCAGCGCGCGACAGCGCCTGGCTGAGCCCGAACACCAGCTGGCCAACCGCTAGGCGGTGCGCGTCTTCCGGGAGTACGTGAGGAAGTGCAGAGCCCAGACTTCCAGACCACGGACAGAGAGGCGCCGCTGCGCTTCAACGCCGAGGACCGATCCCAGAACAGCCAGCTCTAAACCAAGATTTCACTCGCCGGGAGCCGCAGCTCGCTCAACCGCTACCTCAAGGAGCTCTTATACTGCAGCATGCTTGACCTCACCAAGGACCCGGAGCTGCGCATCGCCATCCTGACGCTGGCCGCCCGCTGTCATCCGCAAGCTCAAGGAGCAGGGTGCTGCACTAAAGGTGCAGAAACATGTCATTCTGCGCGCCGACCCGACCTCCCCAAACTCTACACTAACAGCGTCTCCGCACTAATGCGCCCCTTGGGCTGCTCAACACCGCGACCTGAGAACCAGCTGGAGCTGGAGGAGGACTCCTGCGGGCTGACCACGGACGAAGACGGTCGCAAGTTCGTCTGCTTCATGTCCCTCGGGCCCTACCACAAGTCGAGCTCTTCGTCCTGGAGCAAGAAGAGCATGGAGAGCAGCGAAGAAGATAACTTGTATGTAGGAGACGGGAGTTCTGTCTTGCCAGGAGCAATGGCTAGCTACTCAGGAGAATCGCGGTTCGAAGCCAGCCCGGGGCAAATATAGTTCGGAGGTCCCCATCTCGGAAAAACCCCATCACAAAAAAGATCTGGCGGAGTGGATCAAGAGGTCAGAGCTCATGTCTGACCCTGAGTTCAAATCCCATAGCTGCCCCTCCCCCCAAAAAAGAATTCTGTCGCTATGTCAGCTTCAAATACCTGAGGAAGTTTAGTTCCTTTTTTAAGGCATTCTTCCAGTGGCCCCGGGACTACACAAAAAAGCGTTGTGACTTTGTAGGAGAACAAATCCATTAGCAGAAACTTACACCAGGATGCAAATGCTCTCCAAGGCGGCCAAGCTGTCCAGAACCTACACCAACCACTGCATCAGCGCCATTTCCAACGCCAGGCTCAACAGCCTCGCGGGCTTTGAGCATTGGCACCTCACTGGGCTCGTGAGCCCTGAACAGACCATCTTTCTACCACTTGCACCTACGCCACCCAGTTCTCCAACCACGTCTATACCTAGCTGCCCTTCCTGAGGAACATTTACATCTTCCCCAAAGACAGCCAGGACAACCCAAGGTGAAATCCGAGGCTTCAACCATGTGGGGAGTGGAGAGATCTGTGGCTCTTCTTCCTGCAAAGGACTTTGTTTTTTTGGTTTGTTTGCTTTTTAATTTTTATTTTTTTATTATTCATATGTGCACACAATGCTTGCGTCATTTCTCCCCCCTGCCCCCACCCCCTCTCTTACCACCCACTCTGCCCCCTCCCTCTCCTCCCCACCCCCTCGATACCTGGCAGAAACTATTTCCTGCAAAAGACTTTGGATGTTCCCCTTAGAGCCTGTGGGTGCAGTAATGTTTTTTCCGTGGAACACATCTCTTCTCCCAAAAGCCAATGGGCACAGAAGCGCCAGTTCACCCACAGTACTTTCACCTGCTATTGTTTCCACCCAGGTAACCCAACCAACCTCTAATAATGAAATATTTCTCTGGTACCACTTCAGGACTAACTTTTGTGCTAATGTAGGTCTGGCTTAGGGGAAGTTTTTTAAGGTAGCCAATATACTACATGCGGTTGGATTTCACCTTTTTTTTTTTTCTCACCTAACCTTAAAAGATGTGAGAGGTAGGTGGAGCACCACTGACTCACCACTGCCTGTAATCCTAGCTACTTGGGAGGCTGTGATCCGACTTATGGCAAGTTCCAAGGCCAGCAGGAGCAAGTAGTTCCTGAGACTCCATCTCCAAAATAATTACACCAAAATGGGCTCAGTGTCTGGTTCAAGAGGGAGAGTGCCTACTTTGTAAGCTTGAAGCCCTGGGTCAAACTCAGTGTCCTTCCTCCCACACCACACCACACCCCCACACCCCTCCACTCCCCCTACACACACACACACAAATCAAGTGGTAGAACACTTGCTTAGTAAGTGCTAGGCCCTGAGTTCAAACTCCATTATCACCCAAAAAAAGTGGGGGGGGATGCCTTGGCTCACACCTGTAATCCTAGCTACTCAGGAGGCAGAGATCAGTAGGATGGTGGTTCAAAGCCAGCCTGGGCAAATAGTTCTCAAGACCCTATCTCAAAAAAACCAGTCACAAAAAAGGGCTTGTGGAATGGCTCAAGGTGTAGGCCCTGAGTTCAAAGTCCGGCATGGCAAAAAAAAAAATATGTGAAAGATTGTGCTACCTAACAAGTCACTGTTGGGAAATAACATTAAAAACTTCAAAGTTCACAGAACAAAAGGAGCAGTTCCTCTTCATTAAATGCATGAGTTTTATAAGGCAGAGTGTAGAGTGCTGTACTTAAAGGAGGCAGTACTTAAAATCTGTTTGAATAAAGCTACCATTAAAACATTCCATTACATATTCGACATAAGTTTGGGTATTTTTTTGACAGTACTGGGGATTGAACCCAGGGCTTCACAATTGCTAGGCAAGGCATTCCCACTTGAGTAACTTGGCCAGCCCTTTTTTGTGTTGGGTATTTCAAGATAGGGTCTCTGGAACTCTTTGCCTGGGCCACTTTGAACCAAGATTCTCCTGAGTGTTAGGATTACAGGCATGAGCCACCTGAGCCAGGCCACCATTGTAACTTTTGAAGGCAGATGGAGTGACTCAAGTGGTAGAGCACATGCCTAGCAAGCGTGAGGCCCTGAGTTTAAACCCCAGTACCACGAGAAGAAGAAGAAGGAGAAGAATTATAAATTATTAAAAAGAAAACATGCCCAGGGCTGGCAGAGTGGCTGCCTACCAAGCCAAAGACCCTGAGTTCAACTTCCAGTAGTACCAAAAAGAGGAAGGAGGAAAGGAAGGAAAGAAAGAAGGGAGGGAGGGAGGGAGGGGAGGAGGGAGGGAGGAAAGGAAGGAAGACATACTACAAAAAAGTCATCCAACCCATTCAATTGACAAAATACACCAACTAATTATAATGTGACAGAATAGAAATATCCAATGATAGGGTTTCAGGTTATAACTAATCATTAAGAAACTACGACTTGTATAGTGTAGTATCAAATATGATTATCCACCATAGTGTAGGGAAAGCTATTAAAAAGAATTCTCTTTGGGCTGGAGGTGTGGTTGTGGTTCAAAGGGTAGAGTGCCTACTTTGCAAACAGGAAACACTGAATTCAATCAAAACAAGAGAATGGGGCCAGGGATGTAGCTCAGTGGTAGAACACTTACTAGCATGCCTGACACCCTGGGCTCCATCCCCTAGCACAGGAAAAAAAAAGTAATAATAAATCTCCAGCACCATAAGAAACAAAGTAAAAGCTAAGAGAATTGAAGCACAAACAGGAAAATGGGACAGATAAGAATGACACTTACTGTAAGGTTATTCAGAATTATCACAACAAATCCCCCATCACCACCGTACAAGGAATATATGTTAATAAAAATGGGGGGGAAGATTGACATTTGTAAACATGTAAAATGACCACTCTTCTGGCTATGTTGTTTGTTTTGGAAACTAGTTATTTTACATAAAATTACGTTACTTCACACCAGGAATGATGGTTCACATCTGTAATCTCTGCACGCAGGAGATAGAGGAAGGAAGAATAAGAGCTCCAGGCTGGCCTTTGAGACCCTTTCTCAAAAAAAAAATGTAATATTTCTGATAACATGTAATATATTATTACTATTATTCAAATAAATTAATACTTTCAAATTTTTGTTTTAATTTCTAACACAAATATATAATCCACAGAAACAAAATCTCTTTAAATCCTCACTAATTAAAATAGTATGCAGAGACCTGAAGCCTGAAAGTTTAAGAACTGGGGCTGGAGGAGTGGCTCAAGTGGTCGAGTGCCTGCCTAACAAGTGTGAAGCCCTTAGTTAACACCCCAATCCCACAAAAATAAGTAAATAAATAAATAAATAATAATAATAAAAGATTAACAGCTGCAAATTTATACAGCCTCTGTGCCAGGACTCTGGGAGACTGCGCAACAGCAGGCGGGTCGGAGCAAAGTCCCAATTTCCGGACGTGGACTCATTTTGTTTGTCTTTGGCCACAGTGAGTTTGAAACGCAGGGGCAGGGCTCTTACGGCTTGAGCCACTCTGCCAGACATTTTTTTATGATTTGTTTTTTCGATATGGTCTTCCGGACTATTTTCCACGGGCTGACTTGAACCGCAATCCTCCTAATGTCTCCCTCCTGAGTAACGAGGATTACAGGCGGGAGCCACTGGCGGCCCGCTGAGGTCTTGTTCTTAAATTATCTGGGGTAGTAGGGGAATTCACTTAAGAGTTTCACTTCTGATTCCGAGCCACTACCCGGTCCTTCTTCCTGCGTCCTCATGACGCGACTCCAACTCGCTCTCTCATTGCTGCGTGGTTTCTAGAGCAGCCAATCCTATCTTTACCATTTCCAGGTTGTCAAATTCTCACCCACCCGCATTCGAATTCTCCCCAGACCCAGAAGATGAAGCCTGTGGCGCCCCGATCTTTCCTCCTGCTGCTGCTCTCCTGGTTCCAGCCTCTGAACAAGACCTGGGCTGGTGAGTGCGGGGTCGGGAGGAAAACGGCCTCTAGGGGGCAGGAGCAAGGGGACAGCCCTGTGGATTGCGCAGGACCAGAGAAACTGCGTCTCCGCCCCCGCCAGCCCAGACCCCTAAGGGTCTCCTCCCCAGGGCGCTGCCCCCTCCCCTCAGCCGCTGCCTTCACACCCCCAGCCGCTTTTCGGTCACAGGAACCCCTCCTCCCCTCCCGATCCATCAACCTGGGACTCAGGGTCTGCGCAGGGAGGAGGGTGGCACCAGATCTTAGCCTCTCCCTGCCCCCAGGTTTTCATTCTTTGAGGTATTTTCACACCTCCGTGTCCCTGCCCGGCCGCGGGGAGCCCCGATACATAGCTGTCGGCTACGTGGACGACACGCAGTTCGTGCGCTTCGACAGCGACGCCGCGGACCCGAGGATGGAGCCGCGGGTTCCGTGGATGGAGTGGGTGGGACCGGAGTACTGGGAGCGGGAGACGCGGAACGCCAAGGATACCGCACGGAGTTTCCGAGTGAATTTGCGGACCCTGCTCGGCTACTACAACCACAGTGAGGACGGTGAGTGACCTTGGCCTGGATTACAAGTCACAACCCTACTCTTCCCCCACGTATGTGCTAGTTTCATCTCGAGACTTGCCCAGAACTTCATCTAGGGAAGAGTCTGTGGGGGACTTGCTCAGATGCGGAAACACACTTGGGTTTCGTTTGCAATGGAAGTAGGCGGGCGGCTCTCTAGCTCACAGAGCAAAACTGAGCCAGATCAGCCAAGTGAGGGCGTCTGTTCTGGGCGGGGCCAGGCTCTCACACCCTGCAGTGGATGTATGGCTGCGAAGTGGGGCCAAACAGGAGCCGCATCCGCGGGTACGAGCAGTTCGCCTACGAAGGTTCTGATTACATCTCCCTGAACGAGGACCTGAGCTCCTGGACCGCGGCGGACACGGCCGCCCAGATCTCCAAGCGCAAATCTGAGCAGGCGTGTGAGGCGGAGCACCAGAGGGCCTACCTGGAGGGGGAATGCGTGGAGTGGCTCTACAAGTACCTGAAGAACGGGAAAGAGACTCTGCTGCGCATAGGTACCAGGGACACAGATTCCCTCTGGTTGAGGCTGTGTCCACAGCAAACCACCCTCCAACAGCTACCATAAAGAGCTGGAGATGTAGCTCAGCGGTAGAGTCCTTGCCTAGCTGGCAGGAGGCCCTAGATTCCCTAGTGCGGGGGGGTGGGGGGGGGCCGAGCAAAAAGGAAAACAGCATCGAGGTCAGAATACTGTTTCTCTTTGGGGACCTAGAGAGGTTCAGAGGCCCCCGAAGTTCCAGATCCAGTCCTAGGGAGTGACTCATTCAGTGGACCAGCCTTTCTCAGGGACAGTTTAGAAATACAGTCTCTCTAGGATGAGAGGGAGACCATTCTCAGAGGTTTTGGGAAACTTTCAATCAGATGGTTTTGTTCTCTGCCCCACACCCAGTGTCTGGAGGTCTGACTTCAGCTTTTATGATTCATTCAGCCTCCACCCAAGTCAGGTCCAGAATCTCTTCCCCTACCAACCACCCTCAGAGACCTGGAGCTTCCTACCCTGTCCTATCTCACCCTGATCCTAAAACTTTCCAAAAAAATAGCTTATCCCAAGTGTCTGTGTCCTGGCTGGTGTCTGGGTTTTATGCTTTCTCACCAACCCCAGTTGTCCTGTCATTCTCAGGATGGTCATGCAGACACTGCTGCACTGTTCCATGAGGAATGCAAGTGCCTGAACTTTTTGAATCTATCTTTCAGATCCCCCAGAAACACATATCACCCACCACCCCATCTCTGACCATAAGGCCACCCTGAGGTGCTGGGCCCTGGGCTTCTACCCTTCGGAAATCACCCTGACCTGGCAGCGGGATGGGGAGGACCTGAGCCAGGACATGGAGCTTGTGGAGACCAGGCCTGCAGGGGATGGAACCTTCCAGAAGTGGGTAGCTGTGGTGGTGCTTTCTGGGGAGGAGCAGAGATACACGTGCCATGTGCAGCATGAAGGGCTGCCTGAGCCCCTCACCCTGAGATGGGGTAAGGAGGGGACATGGGCATGGGCTCTCTTGTCAGGGAAAGCAGGAGCTCTTCTGGAGACCCTCAGCAGGGTCTTGGCTGAGAGCTGGGGGTCAGGTCCCCTCCTGACCTTCCCTTCTCTTCCTTTCCCTTCCCAGAACCACCTCCTTTGCCTTCCAGTCTCCTTGTGGCAATTATCACTGGCCTGGTGGCTCTCCTTGGAATTGTGGTGGCTGCTGTGATATGGAGAAGGAGTCATGAAGGTAGGGAAGGGGCTAGGGTCTGAGTTGTCCACTGGGGAATTCAAGGCCAAGGTAGAAGTGTGCCTTGCCTTACTAATGGGAAGTACACACACAGGTGCTTTCCCAACTGGGGCCCTGTTCACAAACACTCTTTTGTAAAGCACATAGAAAATAAAAGATAAACTAATCAGCTTGATGATGGTTATGAAGACCTGATTCCTAGCAGTAAGGAATCACAGGGAAGATTCTTGCTATGGACAGAACTCCAGGAGGGCAGTTGGTCTTCTTTCTGCCCATCTCTTTTGTTCATATTTCCTAATCCTTTCCTGGGTCTGTAGTCAGAGTTCTGGAAACTTCCCTGAAGCTCAGGACTAGGGATTGTTCTAGGCCCTCTTGGCCCTGACTCCTCCCTGGCCCCTCACAGTTTGTTTTCTTCCCACAGGTAGAAAAAGAGGCAGCTGCATTTATACTGCAAGTAAGTATGGGGGGGCGGGTCTCTGAGATCCTGTAACAGTGTATACAGGAACTCATGGGGGGAGTTCACCCATCCCATAATTCCTCCTTGGGCCACATCTCCTGTGGGCTCCAACCAACTCTTTTGTTCTTTTCCAGGCAAGGACAGAACCCATAGCTCTGATGCATTTCTTACAGCTTAAAAAGGTGAGAAACCTGAAGGGGGATTTTGGGCAAAGGGAAGATTCCTGGGTTATGGGGACTGTGGATTGGGACATTTTGAGTGTGTGTTGGGCTGTTCAGAGGTCACCACTTACAGTGCCTATCTGAATTTGTCATGATCATTTTCTCCTACAGTGTGAGGCAGCCTCTTTGGGAGGACTGAGCCACATAGGATCTGTTCAGCTCTCTCCCCCCTCCCTCCAGTGACTTCAAGAATTTTTAACATATCCTTTTCTAAAATTCAAATGGCCTGAAAACACATGAAAAAATGCTCACCATCTCTAGCAATAAAGGAAATGCAAATTAAAATCATGCTAAGATTCCACCTCACCCCTGTTAGAATAGCCATCATCAGCAAAACCACCAACAACAGGTGTTGGCGAGGATGTGGGGAAAAAGGAACCCTCTTACGCTGTTGGTGGGAATGTAGACTAGTACAACCACTCTGGAAAAATATTTGGAGGCTACTTAAGCTAGACATCGATCTACCATTTGATACAGCAATACCACTCTTGGGGATATACCCAAAAGACTGTTACTCCAGAGGCACCTGCACATCCATGTTTATTGCAGCACTATTCACAATAGACAAGTTATGGAAACAGCCAAGATGCCCCACCACTGACGAATGGATGAGGAAAATGTGGTATCTATACACAATGGAATTCTATGCAGCCACGAAGAAGAACGAAATGTTATCATTTGCTGGTAAATGGATGGAATTGGAGAACATCATTCTGAGTGAGGTTAGCCTGGCCCAAAAGACCAAAAATCGTATGTTCTCCCTCATATGTGGACATTAGATCAAGGGCAAACACAACAAGGGGATTGGACTATGAGCACATGATAAAAGCAAGAGCACACAAGGAAGGGGTGAGGATAGGTAAGACACCTAAAAAACTAGCTAGCATTTGTTGCCCTTAACGCAGAGAAAGTAAAACAGATACCTTAAAAGCAACTGAGGCCAATAGGAAAAGGGGACCAGGAACTAGAGAAAAGGTTAGATCAAAAAGAATTAACCTAGAAGGTAACACCCACGCACAGGAAATCAATGTGAGTCAATGCCCTGTATAGCTATCCTTAGTTCAACCAGCAAAAACCCTTGTTCCTTCCTATTATTGCTTATACTCTCTCTACAACAAAATTAGAAATAAGGGCAAAATAGTTTCTGCTGGGTATTGGGCGGGGGAGAGGGAGGGGGCGGAGTGGGTAGTAAGGGAGGGGGTGGGGGCAGGGGGGAGAAATGAACCAAGCCTTGTATGCACATATGAATAATATAAGAAAAAGGAAAAAAAACATATCCTCTTCTATTTTGTTTTGATGTCGTTTTTAATCTAATCCAATTCATAAAACCGCATTCATGGAGTGGTATACTCCATGATAAAATGATTACTTAAAAAATTTGTTCTATTTTTGTCTCTTTGTATGATTAGAAATCCTAGGTCTGTAAGAAAAGATGATCCATGTATACTCTGATATTTTGTATTAATTTGTACATTCTGTTGAACTCTACATGTTCCTAAGTAGAGTTGCCATGCCATTCTTCAGTTTTCATCTGACTGCCTACAAAAATCTGCACCACCATGATGGTCCAGATGCCATGCTATTCAAACAGGTGTATTAGCAGCTGATGACCAAACTTTTTTTAGCACAGAGACTTGATATAAATGCTCTTTTTTTTTTTCGCTTGACTGTTAGCAGTCTAGGAAAAGGTGAGGTAGAAATTTATCTACTTACTTTCACTTTCAATTTCTGCATGTACTTTATTGAGGATCCTTTAACAAATGGTCCACAGGCAGTTTGAGTGGATTGGACTGGATAAGCTAGTATTTCAGCATCTACCCTAGTATCAGATTAATAGCAGGAATTACTCAGTACTTCATGGCAATTCCATTTTTAGCAATGTGGTAGACTACATTTTAAGGCTGCCTCTTCTACTAAAAACAAACAAAAGAAAAAATGTAAGATGCATCCAAAAGTATAAAAGTGCAAGCAAGAGAATAAGCCTTTAGGTCAAAATATGAGCAGGAATTCAGAAATATCCTGAGGGTATCTGCCAAATCTGAAAAAATGTTAGCTTTGGTTTTCTTAGGTTTGCATGGCACACAACTGTGTTAGTACTCTTTCTATTAGTATAAAAAAATTACCTAGGCTAATTAACGTAAAAAGAAAAAAAAATGTTTTGGCTCCAATCCATGATGAAATGACCCCATGATTTGAGCCTGAGGCAGGCAGAACATCGTGGTAAGAATAGGTGGCAGAGAAAGTCATTCATCTCATTGCTAGGAAGCAAAAGAGAGTACAGAAACCCCCTATTCCTGTACCCCCAGGGAAGTTTCCAGAGCTGTGACTCCAGACCCAGAAAAGGATCAAGAGGCATGAAGAAAATACATGTACAAGGACTGGACCAATTGCCCTGGCACCTTTCTCTGTGGTCTGTGACTGGAAATCAGTTCCCAATCACCAAAAGCATCCAAGTCCTTCATTTTCCATGCATTTTACAAAAGAATGTTAGCAAACAAGGCCCCAGACTAAGCAGGCACAAAGGGTGGAAGGTACTTCCCATTAACAAAGCAAGGCACACGCCTACCTGTGGCATGAAATCCCACAATGAGACAAGAAAATTCAGGGCCCATCTTTTCCCTATCTAGTCATCTTCCTCTACATCACAATGGTGACCACAGCTGCAGTGCCCACAGCTCCAAGGACAACTAGCCCAGTAATGACTCCCGTGAGGGTGTGGTGGCTGAGGAGTAGGCTCTCAGAGAAAAGGAAAGAGAAGGAAAGGTGAGGAGCTCTGACCACCATCTCTCAGCCAAGACCATGCTGAGGGTCTCCAGCAGGTCTCCTGCTCTCCCTGACAAGAGGCTCTGTCCTCCTTACTTTATATCAGGTGAGGGGCTCTGGCAGCTCCTTTTATTGCACATGACTGTGTATCTCTGTTCCTCCAGAAGGGGCCACCACAGCTGCCCACTTCTGGAAGTTTCCATCTGCTGCAGAACTGGTCTTCACAATCTCCATGCCCAGAGTCTCCATGCCCATCCTAAAGCCAGATAAGAGTGATCTCTGCAGGGCAGAGGGCCTCCTTCCTCAGGGAAACCTTACAACAGTTAGAGATGGGTGGTAGGTCACAAGTGCTTTAAAAGAATCAGGAAATTCTGATATTTTGCATTACCTCCTGTAAGCCACTGACCAACCTGAGAATGAGCAGGACAACTGGGGTTGGTGAGAGAGCACAAAACCCAGACAAAACCTGGGCTCAGACTTCTGGGATAAACTATTCCTTAGAAAATTAGAATCAAGTTGAGACACCTCAGGGTAAGAGGCTCCAGGTCTCTAAGAGGAACTTCTTGGCTCTGACCTGGGTAAAAACAGAGCCAGGAAAAAGCTGGAGCCAGCCCTCCAAAGACTTTGGGTTGGGGCAGACAGCAAAGCTTGAAAGAAAGTGTCCCCATGATGAGCAAGCCTGCCCCAAGAGTAAAAGGGACCTGTTAGTCGGTTATTTCAGGGACTGTCTTCCCTCCAACCCTGGAGAGAGAGACTGGCTCTCTTAACTCTCCTGAGGCGGCGGGGGTCCTCAGAGTCACTCTCTGATGCGGAGTCTGGAATCCCAGAAGGGCTCACCCCTATGTGGACAACAGGGAGGGCGGTATTCCAGTGCGGGGCCAGTTTTCCTCACTCCTGTGGGAGGTAGCAGAGAGATCTACCGGAGACCCGCTGTCCATTGTACCTGCGCGCTGCAGGGCCAGGTGTCCCAGAAGCCACACCACTCACTCTCCCTACAGGTGGCCTTCCGGTGCCTCTCTTCCCCAGATGCCTGCACTTTGGCTGGAGAGATGTGCGCCACCCTGCCTGGCGCGGTCCAGGACCGCAGGTCTCTGCTCAGTGCGAGGAAAACCCCGCGAAGGTAGGAGAACCACTCAGACCCTAGGAGCAGGCGCAGCCCCGCCCCACGCGCAGCCGAGCTTTCATTGGAGGGAGTGAACGCCTAGCCACGCCCACCGTCAGCCACGCCCACCGGTCACGCCACGCCCACCCGCGGATTTTAAAATGAAACCCGGCTAAGACTGCCTATCTACGCTTCTTGCCCAAACCCATACTTTTTTTTTTTTTCCGATACTGGGGCTCGAACTCAGGGCCTTCACCTTGAGCCACTCCAGCCCTATTTTTGTGAAGAGTTTTTCCACATAGGGTCTCGCGAACTATTTTTGCCCGGCTGGCTTGGACCGCGATCCTCCTGATCTCTGCCTCCTGAGTAGCTAGGATTACACGCGTGAGCCACCCGCGCCCGTCCCCCACCCCCTTTTGTTCCTTCCACTGTATAACCACAAAGCTCTTGTTAGCTCCCTGGTAACACTTGCCCCCCATCCCCAACACCATTCCCGCTATGGCCATAATGTACAGATTCCTTTCCTTCTTCAAACAAACAAAAAACCGGATGAGGATGAACCTCGGCTTTGGAGACCGAAGGCGACCCCCGCCCAGTTCGTGGGGGACGCGAAGGGGTCGCGACCTGCCACCCAGGCCCGGGGTCACTCACTGAGACCTCACGCGACTTTCCTGCCGCGGCACCCGGGTCCCAGGTTGATGTGGCGGGAGGAGAGGAGAGGGTGCAGGGCAGCGGGATGGAAAGGGCGAGAAATAGATGCAAGAGCCCCGGAAGGGAGAACGGAGTGGGGGGAGGGTTCGGGTCGGGACAGGGAGTAACTGGTTTGCTTAGCGTTTTGGCACAGGGGTGGCAGAGATGCTGCTTTTCCCAGTGCAGTGCCCTGGTCCGCGGGTCCCATCGCTCCACCCCTGCAGAGGCCTTTTTCCTCCCCATCCTCACTTACCCGCCCGGGTCTTAGTCAGGGTCGGGGTCCCCTAGGTTAGCAGGAGGTGGTCGCGGGACGCCACGATCGCCTTCCTCGAGATTTTGCGAGAATCTGAGTCCGGGTGGATTCAATGTATGAAGACTGGAACCGAAGCCACAGCGAACTGATTGGCTTCTCTAGGAACCCGACAGGCAATGGGAGTGAACTGGAGTCGCGTCACCAGTGTCCAGGCAGAAAGACTTGACCAGGTTAGAAGAAGGAAAAGTGAATTCCAGGTCCAGATACAGCGCTGGAGCCCGAGACCCACGCCCCTGACTTCTCTTCACAGCACTAGCGCGGTTCGGCACACGGTCTCCCTTAGTACTGGTGCTGGACTTAATTTAAGCCAGAAGTTCTCAAAGATTTATGTTTCAGGATCTCTATACTCTTAGAAATCAGTATGGACCCCAAAGATAATTTTATGTGGATCATATCTACAAATATTTCCCATTGCAGAAATTCAAACCTTTTAAAAAGATATTTAATTCATTTAGCATACTAATAACCGATTGCATGTTAACAGGAAAGATGTTTTAAAGAGAAATAACCATTTTCCAAAATAAAATATTATAGTGCGAATAGTGGAGCCTTTTACTTTTTATATTTTTGAAGTCTTTTTATCTGTGTCATTAGAAAACTGCTATGCCCTGCCCCCCTGGGTCTTCTAGAAGAGAACCCACCTCCTTGAAATCCGATGTATTTATCCTGGGAACAGAGCTGGAGGGACATTATTTCCCCTTTGAAATTAGGAACAATTTGTGTTCAAAGACACCAGATAGTCAGTCCTATAAATCCAGAAATCTTGCAACCATTCACATTTCTAAACTGTATCCATCTTTTATGTTATAGATACTATATTTGCTATAACTATGCAGGTTATGAAGTCCACAAGAATATGCTATGACTTTAGTTTTAAACAGTTACATGTATTTAGTAAGTGGAGTAGGGTCAGAATAAAAGGAAGACATAGTCTTCTGCATTTAACCAGATATCTGGCATGTGATGTTGTTTGCCTTTTCTGATACTCTGAGTTTTCTTTTGCATCATTTACCTTCAAACTGAAGAATTCCTTTACCATTCATATAATGCAGATCTGTTGGTGACAGATTCTTTTCCTGTTATATGAAAATCTGTTCATTTTCTCTTCATTCTTGAAGGATATTTTTGCTAGATGCACACTTATGGGTTGACTTCTTGTTGTTGTTCAGAGCTTTAAATGTACTGATTCACTTTCTTCTTGCTCTAGGGTTTCTTTTTCTTTTTCTTTCTTCTTTTTTTTTTTGTGGTTCTGGGTTCAAACTCAGGGCCTATACCTTGAACCACTCCACCAGTCCATTTTTTAAGGGTTTTTTCAAATAGAGTCTCAAGAACTATTTGCCCAGGCTGGCTTTTAACCACAATCCTCCTGATCTCTGTACTCTGAGTAGCCTGGATTACAGGTATGAGCCACTGGTGCCCAGTGCTTTAGGGTTTCTGATAAATCAGCAGACCCAAAAGGTAGAGCAAAAGAGTAAGATACAAAAAAATAACAAGGTAGATGTGAAACCTATCATGTTCACAACCACAGCAAACCTTATTCAATGCTACCATTAAAAAGCAGAAATTGGCTGGGCAAAGTGGCTCCTGTCTATAACCCAGCTATTTGGGAGGCTGAAAAAGGGAGGAAGTTGGTTTAAGGCCAGCCCATGCAAATAGTTTGCATAGATCCCATCTCCAAAAATAACCAGAGCAAAATGGACAGAAAGTGTGGCTCAAATGGTAGAGTGCCTGCTTTGCAAGTGGGAAGCCCAGTTTAAACCCCAGACCCACCAAAAAACAAACAAACAAACAAAACCCTAAAGATTGTTGGACTAGGTTAAATAATAAACCCAGTCATATGCCATTTGTATAAAGAAATGTACTTTAAAGGTTAGGAGCATAGTTCAAGGGGTAGAGGGCTTGCCTGGCAAGTACTAGACCCTGAGCTCAAAATGCCAGTACTGCTGAAAAGAAATGTACTTTCACTATAAAGACACAACTGGAAAGTAAATTGATGGGAAGAGATATGCCATGCCAACAGTTACCCTATAGAGTGGCTATGATACTGTCAGAAAAAAAAATGTATTTTCAGACATAAAGAAGGGTACTTCAAGGGCTGGAGTGATAGCTCAAAGTGGTAAATTGCTTGCCTAGCATGTGCAAGGCCCTGGGTTCAGTCCCCAGCACTGGAAAAAAAAAATTCAATGTGGATAAAAGGGTCAACAGCTCAGAGTTTGTCTTGAATCTCAGAGGAGGCTTTAAACAATGTTGCACTTCTCAAGACCATGGGGACTCTTGGAGACGGACTGATTGCACTTTGCCTTGTGAGATGAACATGAGCCTTTTGAGGGTGAGGGGTGTAATGTTAAGGCTTGGTTAGGAAGTGTCCCCCCAAAAGGCTCTTGTATTGAAGGATTGGTCCCCACAGGTGGTTAAAAGTTTCAAATGTGGGGCCTCACTGAAGGCATGTCTTAGGGACTACATCTTGTCCTAAGTATATTCTCTCCTCCCATCCCCTCCTTTCCCCTCCCCCTCCCCTCCTCCTCCTCCTCCCCCTCCTCCTCCTTCTCTTCCTCCTCCTCCTCCTCTTCTTCTTCTTCTTCTTCTTCTTCTTCTTCTTCTTCTTCTTCTTCTTCTTCTTCTTCTTCTTCTTCTTCTTCTTCTTCTTTTCTCTCTCTCTCTCAAAGAAATGATCATTGGAAGTGGGGTCATAAAGGAGGAGCTCTCAAGAATGGGTTCAGTAAAAAAAAAAAAGTTATTGCTGTAGTGCTGTTGTAGAGTGATATTGATATTGGCTCAGACTACTAAAGTGGATGTTTAATTTTTTTAAAAAGAGGACCCTCATAAAAATGATCCCAGAAAGCTACAGTGCCCCTTCTGCAATGTGAGAAGGTAGTTGTCAGTGAAGAAGTTGCCATCATAAGACATGAAGCATGGAGTTAGCCAACACCGTGATCTTGGACGTCATAGCCTCCAGAACTGTGAGAAATTTCTATTGCTTATAAGCCACCCAGTCCATGATATTTATGTTATAGCAACCTCATGGACTAAGATAACTGCTCCTGATGTTATGTGAGCCTCAAATCAAGTGCATTAGATTCATTAAAGAGCCAGATTCCAAGCACAGTGTAGGAGGAGGAGGAGGAGATGAGGCGGGAGGAGGGGGGAAAAGGGATGGAGGAGTTGAGGGAGTCATATTATTTCTCACATAGATTACATATATATGTATACAAATATATGTAATGTAATCTATAATCGTAGACAGGCTATATTGCCTTGACTGCCCTCAAGCAATTCTCAGACTGCCTCCCTTGCAGCTGGGACAGCAGGCGTATGACACCAAGCGTGGCTCATTTCTGGTATATGAACACATAAAACCAAAACGGATGTTGAATAAATATATATAATGTCTTCGGGCACAAATTGTGCTTAATTCCAAAGGGAAACACGTGTCCCCCCACTCTGTTCCCAAGCTAAGGACACTCTCTGGCATCAAATTTCAAGGCGGTGGGTTATCTTCTAGAAGAACCAGGGGGACAGTGCACAGCAGTTTTCTAATGAGGCAAATAAAAAAAAGGACTTGAAGCCTGATGCCAGTGACTCAGGCCTGCAATCCTAGCTATTCAGGAGGCAGAGATCAGGCACATCGCGGTTCCAAGCCAGCCCGGGCAAATAGTTCCCTGAGGCCTTATTTCGAAAAACCCTTCACAAAAATAGGGTTGGTGGAGTGGTTCAAGGTGAAGGTCCTGAGTTCAAACTCCAATACCTCAAAAGAAAAAAAAAAAGTAAAAAGTAAAAGGATCCACTGTTCTCACTATAATATTTTACTTTGGAAAAAAGTTATTTTCTCTTTAAGATATCGTTTCTGTTAACATGCAATTGGTTATGAGTACTCTAAATGAATTAAATATCTTTTCAAAAGGTTTTAATTTCTAAAATGGTAAATATTTATAATATGATCCTCATAAAATTATCTTGGGAGTCCATACTGATTTCTAAGAGTATAGAGATCCTGAAACGTAAATCTTTGAGAACCTCTGGCTTAAGTCCAGCACCAGTACTAAGGGAGACTGTGTGCCGAACCGCGCTAACCAGGGTCAGGTCTTTCTGCCTGGATACTGGTGACGCAATTTCAGTTCACTCCCATTGCCTGTCGGGTTCCTAGAGAAGCCAATCAATGTCGCCAAAGTCGTCACGGGTTGAATGCGTCCGGACTCAGATTGTCGAAAAATCTCGAAGATGTGATCGTGGCGTCCCGCGACCGCTTCCAGCTATTCCAGGGGACCTGGACCCGGACCGTGAATGAGGCCTGGGCGGGTGAGTGCAGGGTGGGGAGGGAAAAGGCCTCTGTTGGGGAGGAGCGAGGGGACCCGCGGACCCGAGCGCTGAGCGCGGGAAAGCCACGTCTCCGCCAGCCCCGGCCTAGAACCCTCTGCAAATCAGCTACTCTCTGTCCTGAACCCCGCCCCGTGCTCCCGCTCCCTCCTCTGCCATCTGAATCAGCCACGGCTCTTCAGATCCCCGATCGCTCCCCCACCAATCCCACCTAATGTTCTCCGTCGCCCTCCGCCCCTTTCCATCTCCCGAGCCGCTGAGCCCCTCACACTTCCCGCCCCATTAACTTGGGACTCGGATTCCGCGCCTGCAGGAGGGTCGCGCCGGGTCTCCGCGGCTCCCCGTCCCCAGCTCCCACTCTGTGATGTATTCCCCAGCCCGCCCTGCTGCGGGGTGCCCCGCTTCACCGCCATCCGTTACGAGGAGGACGCGCTGTTCTACAGCGACGCCGCCAGTCCTAGCACAGGGCCGCGGGCGCCGCCGGTGCAGCAGGAGCTGCGAGTTTTGGGAGAACCCAAGGATCGTCTTGAGGTTGAACGTTTTCCAGTGAAACTGAGGGCGCCACTTGGCCACTACAACCGGAGCGAGGATGGTGAGTGACCCCGGGCCTGGGTGGCAGGTCGCGACCCCTTCGCGTCCCCCACGAACTGGGCGGGGGTCGCCTTCGGTCTCCAAAGCCGAGGTTCATCCTCATCCGGTTTTTTGTTTGTTTGAAGAAGGAAAGGAATCTGTACATTATGGCCATAGCGGGAATGGTGTTGGGGATGGGGGGCAAGTGTTACCAGGGAGCTAACAAGAGCTTTGTGGTTATACAGTGGAAGGAACAAAAGGGGGTGGGGGACGGGCGCGGGTGGCTCACGCGTGTAATCCTAGCTACTCAGGAGGCAGAGATCAGGAGGATCGCGGTCCAAGCCAGCCGGGCAAAAATAGTTCGCGAGACCCTATGTGGAAAAACTCTTCACAAAAATAGGGCTGGAGTGGCTCAAGGTGAAGGCCCTGAGTTCGAGCCCCAGTATCGGAAAAAAAAAAAAAAAAAGTATGGGTTTGGGCAAGAAGCGTAGATGGGCAGTCTTAGCCGGGTTTCATTTTAAAATCCGCGGGTGGGCGTGGCGTGACCGGTGGGCGTGGCTGACGGTGGGCGTGGCTAGGCGTTCACTCCCTCCAATGAAAGCTCGGCTGCGCGTGGGGCGGGGCTGCGCCTGCTCCTAGGGTCTGAGTGGTTCTCCTACCTTCGCGGGGTTTTCCTCGCACTGAGCAGAGACCTGCGGTCCTGGACCGCGCCAGGCAGGGTGGCGCACATCTCTCCAGCCAAAGTGCAGGCATCTGGGGAAGAGAGGCACCGGAAGGCCACCTGTAGGGGGAGTGAGTGGTGTGGCTCAGGGGATTATTTGGATCTGGACATTGTGAGTGAGCAGTGAGTTATTCGGCATGTTGCCACTTACAGCAACTGCCCTGAATTTATTCATGATTCTTTTTGTTCTGTAGGATGCAACCGCTGCCTTGCGTGGGACTGACACAAGATTTTTCAAGTCTCTCCCTTGTTACTTGAAGAACCTTTGATTTCCTTTTCTACAAAGGACATCTGTCTTCCTGTCACTCAGTTTACCCTGTTCCAATGGTCATCCTTTGTCTTCTTGGTGTGATGTCTGACACAACTCATGCCGTTCCTTCGCCTGTATGGAAATTTCTAGAACAGGTAATGCAGACTGGAATCTAGGAGATGTGGGACTTGTTTTCAAACATAGCAAGTAATGTAACATTATCTATTTCATACTGATCTGAACCTTAACGTGATAAATATGTATAAGAAAACAAATGATCCCCTAGAGTATTTTATTTGGTTATTAAAGCATAGGGAAGGAAGGAGTCATCTGAACTATCTTAGTGTCTTAGTGGTAAAGAGATTGGGAAACACTGCTCTGGTGCTATAAAATAATCAGCCATAAGAAGGGTGTCCCAACCCTGTCTCCTGAAGGGAATGCTTCATGACTGGGCCTCAGAGAAAAGAGTTGCTTGCCTAGTCCATTACCCAGGAAGAGATGTACACACACCGTCTGACTGAGAGAAGATGAAAAGCCCCGGGCCAGTTCACCAGCCCAGGACATGGGAGTTACCTAACCAGCTCCAAGTTCTGAACAGTGCAGAGCCTCCAAAGAATTGGTGTCACTCACACCCAGCAGACAGTATGAGCTAATCCATCCATTCAAATCAGTGTACCTGAGAAGAATTGTCCTCCCCATGAGACAGAAAAAGACTGTAGAATATTGCTGCTATAGTTTGGACCTTAAGTAGCCCACAGAGATCCATGTGGTAAAGGCAAGCCTTTAAATAGTGCCTATTTAAAGAGGCACTATTTAAGAAGTGGGGCCTAGTGGGAAGTCTTTGGGTCATTACGGTGTGACCTTGAAAAAGAGAGTGACACCCTGGTCTCTCTTTTTTTGCTTTCTGGCTAAGCACTTCATCATGATGTGCTGCCTCACCACAAGAACAATGGGACCAACTGACCATGGACTGAAACCTCAGAAACTGAGCCAAAATAAACCTTTTCTCTTTATAAATTGAGTGTCTCAGGTATTTTCTGTAGCCGTAGAAAGCTGACTAACACAATTTTAGAACATTTATTTATTGAACTGTGTCCACTGCAGAGCCTAATGTGGCTAGTGGTAGTATTTCAACCAGTGTTCTTCATTCTTTCCTCAGAGGACATCTTTGCACATCATCATAAACTAGTTGAGGATTCATAGTTGAGATGGCCAGTTCCTCACCCTAGCATAACTCAGAGACTTAGGCCAGGGAAGCAGGGAGGACACAAGTGGTCACTGTACTGTTCTGTACTGAGCTGCAGGAGCTAGGGATACATCAGAGGCGAGAGTACACTTGAGCCACAGGAGGAGGCACTGTACAGAGATGGAAGAGTATGAACTATAAGCTGTATGATTGGCCTCAAATCTGTGATCCTAGGAGTTTTTTTAACCTTTAAACAAAACTTTTTGGATTTAGAAAGAGGCCAGGGTTCACCTTTGCAATTCTTTCAGGAAAAAAACATAAATGCAACTTACTTTCTAAGTTAAAAACAAAAGTAATAAGACAACATGGATAGTATATGAAATAATTTGAGATTCCAACCTTTCAAGGAACATTGAAAAATGACTATACTTTCTGAGAATGTTTAACAATGTTGGATTTTGAACTTGGGGCCCCATTCCTGTTAGTCAGGTGTTCTACCACTTGAGCCATGTTCCCAGCCAGGAATATTCTTTTTTTGATGTGGTCTACACATGGAAACTCCAGTCTCCCATAGTTTCCTTTCCTATTAGCTTATCACCCTCATGTCTTGTTTCTTTTTTCTTATTAGCTGCTTTATACACAGAGAAAGCAATGCTCAGCACTTCCAATAGCATCGCTGCTGGTGGCTTGGATCAGAACAGTGTTCATGGTAAGAAACTGAAGATGTGCAACCTGGACCTGTACCCCTTCTCCATGGAGACCTGTCTGATTGGAGATGAGAGAAGAAGTTCCACTGCACCGAGATTAGGCCCATGCTTATTCTTGGCATTTTTATTCACTTAAAACCAGATAAATCCTTTGAGTCCTGACTACTCAAACTGTGGTTGATGGGCTAGCAGCTTAAGCTCCATCTGGAGCACTGTATAAATGAGAATTTCAGGACCAGGACCACTCTGCAGAATCAGGATCTGCATTGAACATGCTGCCCAAACCATTTGCTACACTTACTAAAGTTTTAGAAGCACTGCTCTAGGACCATCTTTCTCTAAGTGTAATCCTAAAACACTCAGAGCTTTTCTTAAAAACCAAATTTCTAGGCTCACTGCAGGACTGTATATGGGTCCCTGGAGGTAAATTCTAGAATCTGCATTTTCAGCAAGTGCCCTTGGTTCCTGTGCGCATGCAGATGTAAGAATCCAGTGCCAGATGGAAGGAATCAGTAGAGATGGCTGTGGGCTGGAATGGAACAATGACATTTAGGAACTGTGCACCATGTCACAGCCCCTGCTGGAGATCAATACAGCAGATCCAGTTGGTTGTGGAAAACACAGACCTCTCCCCGTGGCAAGAATCATAAGGATGCAATGACAAGAGACTATTACAACTAGCTCTCACTGATGGCCAGGTGATGAAACCCAGGTTCTGATAGTGAAAATCCCATGCTGGTCAGGTTCTCACAAGAGGCCACGGGAAAGCCATGTCCATTTCAGGAATTCCAGCTCCACTGGGTCCCAGGTCCATCCAGGCCAAAGAATGAGACTGTTTGCCACAGAAGAATCTTGCAAAGTTAAAATGGTGGCCTCATTATCTGCCTTAGTAATAGTCACCTGCCTCATCCTGAAAACAAGGTGAGTCTACCATCTGGGGATTTTCATCCAGGTTCCGTTTGGATTCCGGAGTTGGGAGAACCCTGAACTGTCCCCTGGTGTCCTTCATAGCCAGAATCTCCTTCCAGCAGAGTGAGAGATCCTCCTTTTCTCAGAGACTCCCAAGCCATGTATAACTTGCAATCTCTCCAGTGAAATAGCTCCACTATTCAGTGGCTGGTCCCAAGTAGTTTCCCAACCCAGCACCTGGGGATTAGTTTGGAAGTTTTGGGAATGATTGAGTAGATGGCCCAGTAGTGCCTCCACAGTCACATGTTTGTCATCCTTGGAGACAGGGAGATTTGTGTGAATGGTGACCTGGTACAGGACCCCTTCCACTGCTAGAAACAAGAGACCAAGGATTTGACATCCACAGACTGGAAGCAGGAAACCAGCATCTTACCCCTGACTAGACTTGGAGCAAATTACTTCAGCAACTCATGTCTTGTTTTTTTCACATGCAAAACACATTCATTCCTTCCCAGTACCCTCAAAGATTTAACTTTTTTCCATCAGCACCTTTTAAGTCTGTCTCTAAAGCCAAAGTCTCATCTAAATGTCATCTAAAACATATATGGATAACACTCAAGTATTATTCATTCTCAGGAAATTCTCCTCCAGCTGAAGCCTGCAAAATCAAATAAGTTACATCATTTCAAGGTGTAGGATAAACATTCCCATTCCAAAAGAGAGAATTAGGAAGGAAGACAGACGTAACAGTCTTAAATAATCTTCTGGGGGCTAAAGGCATGGTTCAAGTGGTAGAGCACTTGAGTACCAGGGGACAAAAAAGTAAACTAAATAGTTAGACAGACTTTTTGGGTTTTTTTGTTTTGTTTTGTTTTGTTTTAGCAGTACTGGGGTTTGAACTCAGGGCCACTTGCTTGCTAAGCAGGCATGCTACCACTTGAACTACCATATCAGTCTAGGTTTATCATTAAAAATGATAAACAACTATGTAGTATTCCGTAATTTATCTTAGTCATTTCCATTCAGTTGGGTATTTTTATTAGTGTATATGAATTATACAAAAGGGTTTCATTGTGATATTTCCATACATGTATACTTTGATCAAAATCCCCCCCTCTATTACTCTTTCTTATCCTCCGACCCCTTGTCAACTCTTGTCTTTAGGACTCAATTGAAATGTCACCTCAGGGAGGATGTCCTGAACAATGCCCAGATTTAGATGAGTGATCTTGATCTGTATTCCAAATGCCTGTCTTTTCATTTGGACTATTGTCTTGGTCTCTTAGTACTGCTATTAAAAAAAATAGCTGAGACTGGATAACTTACAAACAATAGAAATTTACTTCCCACAGCTCCAGAGGTTAGGAAGTTCAAGATCAAGGTCCCAGCAAGTGCAGTGCTGGTGTCTGGTTATGGTTCACTCTGTAGAGGGCACCATCTAGGTGTCCTCACATAGTGGAAGGGACAGAAAGGCAAAAGGGATGAGCACATTGCAGAAGAGGTGGAAAGGCTGAACGTGTCCCCTCCAGTGCTTTTATAAGGCACTAATCCCATTCATGAATGTGGAGCCTGCATGATCTAACCATTGCCTTAATGGCCCCATCTTTTGTGAATCTCCTGAGGAGATATGAAAGAAACATCTGCCTCCTAATTGGAACAACTCCCATAACCCAAAGAGTAACTTATACAAGTCTAGCTTGATAAGTAAATGAGTTTTATTTGGAGGTTACTTACAGAGCATTGGGTGTTACCTCCGTCAGCTATACCACCGAAGTTCTAAAACCCCTTGATTAGGTTTTTCCTTTATGTGGGTTTTAAGAATCTTGGGCATCTTTAGAGCAGCAAGCAGGGAGGGAGTGGTGATTAATAATCTCTCCAGGAGAGCAGTTGTTTACAGCACATGCTCCTTTTCCCTGAAGGAAATGTCAACAATCTCAGTATCAATTGTCCCAGTCTGTTTGATGAATTACTTCTATTTATGTTCTTGCCTTGGCTCTGGGCCAGGGTCTCTGGTGGGTCATCATGGTGGCTCCTGCCTGAAGATGGTGATGGTCATGTTAAGCCTGGAGGACCAGTTTTCCCATACCCCACCTCTTAATATTGTTTCACTAGGGATTAAGTATCAATATGAAATTTGGAGGGAACACAGACATTCAAACTACAGCATTTATTTGTTATATAAAGACAAGGAGCACATTTGACTTCTACATTTGTATGTACCCAGTTCCTGGCAAGTACCAGGACCAAAATAAATGTAATTTGAGTTGATAAATTAATATTACCCAAAAAGGTAGTCAGGGAGGACTTCTTGTGTCTAATAATGGCAGGCTAGGCTATCTATCTGGACCAACTCATTTACTGAATGGAGCCATTTATTTTGATGCAATATGCCTTGCTTATGACTACAGAAATGTCCAATATTTGAGGGGTTATTATGTAAAGACTTATTCTTTGTGATATAAATGACAGATCTTTGTCCTTCCTATGAAAGCTTCAGAGAGACAGAATTGGTCTCATATTTTTAGGTTAAATTAGACTCAGCACTGAAGTAACTTGTTTTCATAAACTGTGCATTCTCAGTTGTCACTAAAAAGATTCAACCACTTCCTCTTGATATTACACACAGATCAACATTGCAGAGATCAACTATCTGTTCTCTTCCTCACTGAAGTTGCCAGGTGTCAGAGGATCTGGGGTACACTTGCCATGTAATCCTGGGCTAGGCCCTTCTGAGTCCCATTCCTGTTAGTTTCTCTTCAATAACAGTATTTCTCACCAATGTCACAGAGTTATGAGTAGATCAACTTGGATAGTATATGTAAGTCCTTTTTTCTCTGGCAATGAGATCTCACTGTGTAGCCCAGGCTGGCCTAAAACTCAGTCTCCTGACTCAAACTCTCACTTGCTGGAATTACAGACATGTACCACCACACCCAGTTTACATGTAAATCCTTGTGGGGTTTTGTGTGCGTGTGCTTTTTTCATTGTATTATGAAAACCTAGGTCAATCCTTTTTCTTCTCAATTTGTTTTTATCACACATCATTATAAGAACAAGAAAAGAATTTTTTAATGGAAAAGAAAAAGGTCACCATCAATTCCAGTACCTGATAACATAATCATTCTTATTTTTCTCTGTTCCTTTCCAGTGTGACCAAGGACAGCTTTGGCTTTGGGAACTCACATGGGAATCATTATAGATTAAAGCACAGGAAGCCCTACCAGTTCCAAGTAGCACCAAATGATGCAATAAAAGTAATGGTGACTGCTCTGGAGGATTAGAAAGAAAAACTGAAGTGAGAGTTAGTTTTGGATAAAAGAAAAATAAATGGAAATAATTTGCTTTCTCCCTGTCATTAAGCAAGTATTACTTGTTCCTCCTCCCTGCTGTTCTGTCTCCTCAGGTCCTATGTGCAGATAGGTGATTGGGATCCATATCAGGTCCTTTTCCCTCTCCAAAACTACACCAAGATAATTCATCCTGAACACATTATGAAGAAGGAAGGAAGGGAGAGTAGAAGAGAAGGCCTGGGTTTGGGGATCTTCTGTCTTCTGCAACATTGGTGCTTGTCCTGAGAAGATTTAGAAAGAACTCCAGAAGAGAAAAAAAAGAAAGGATGACTTTACCCACTCTGAAGTTACCCCTTCTCCTGATGAATGCTGGTCCCTTTTGTCCTGCCCCTAGTAGAATTTGGGCAGAAGTTCAGCCAATTAAGTGCTTTTGACCCTGTGTCAATCTTGCAGCTGGCACCATGCCACGGCACACATTCCTCTGTCCCCAGCCTGCTTGTCTCCCTTACCTACCTTCCTCATCTTTTTCAAGCAGAATGGAGACAGTTGGGTGAGGAATAAGTTCTGGAAAATAGAAGACCCCTGGGAGAAGTGTAGGGGAGCCCCATTGTGGGGCTTTCTGCCTGCCTTTCTTTGAGAGAGCTCCTCCACCTTTCTCTTTCATTTTGTGTTGAATCCAGTTGAGATCATAAGTTTCTTTTTCCCCACCGGCAGCCAGGAAATGATTCTCTTCCTAACTAGGTCTGCCTACACCCAGTAATCTTATTGAATTACTCCCTTAGTAAATCTCCCTCTATCTTCCTTACAAAATCTTCCCACAGGTATGCAGTTAGGGAAGGAAAGGACAGACAAGACCTGACATTGATCTTAGTCACACATCTACGAATAGAACCTGAGGGAACAGAATAGTAGCAGGGAGAGCATGATTAACAATTGTTCAATGGAGAAGTAAAGAGAAAAAAAAGAACATGATTACCTCAGTTGATATAGAAAAAGGATGTGACAAAATTCAGTATCCTTCCATAATAAAACACTCACACAAGTCAGCTACAGTGGCTCACGCTTATAATCCTAGCTACGCCAGAGGCTGAGATCGGTAGGATCCTGGTTCAAGACCAGCTGGGGCAAAAAAGTTAGTGAAACCCCATCTCAGTGGCACGTACCATTCATCTGAACTATGGAGGAAAATGTAAAAATGTTTGTGCTCCAGGCCAGCCTGTCATATACATGAGATCCTATTAGAAATATACCTAAAGCAAAAAGGGCTATAATCCCAGCACTCAGGAGGCTGAAGGAAAAGGAATAAAAGTTCAGGGCCAGCCTCAGCTACATGGAAAGACCGTGTCTCCAAAAAGAACAAACAAACAAAAATCAACAAAGAATTCATCAGTAAAGCTATCTGGTCCTGAGTTTTTCTTTTCAAGAGATTTTTTTTTTTTTTTAGCACTCTGAATATATCATTCCATTCTCTCCCGGCATATAAACTTTCTGCTGATAAATCTTCTGTTAGACTGCTGGCAATCCCTTGACACTTCTCTTGTTTTTAGAATTCTTTGTCTTGAACTTTTGACATTTCTCCTATAATATGCCATGGAGAGGACATTTTTTGGTCAAATCTAATTGGGGTCCTTTGTTCTTCCTGGACCTGTGAGAAGATCCAGCTTGACCTGAATGCAGCCATCTTGGCCACTAGATGGTCCTACCATGCATTTCAAATCCTATAAGATAATCAATGTTAAGATAGTCAGCCAAGCATTTTGTGCCAGCTACTGGAACCACTGCTGTTCATTAACCGATGTTTAATATATTAATTGTTGGTTTTTGTAGGGGTTGTTTTTTTGTATGGGTTTTTTTTGAGGGGGTGGAGTTCTTGGACTTGAACTCAGGGCCTCATGCTTGGTAGGCATTTGAACCATTTCACCAGCCCTATTTTGTGTTGAATATTTTCAAGATAGGGTCTCTCGGACTGTTTGCCTAGGCTGGCTTCAAACCGCCATCTTCCTGATCTCTGTTTCCTGAGTAGATAGGCATACAGACATGAGTCACCAATACCAGACATGAGTCACCAATACCCTCGCAATAGTTTCTTTAACCTTTGTCTATCTTAGCATATAATCTCCTTCCTTCTGCCTCAGGCTGCAGATCCTCCTTTTCTTGCTGCCTAGGATGCTTCTGTCTATAAATCCTTAGCAGACTGAACTTTGTGAGATCCTTGGTTTGTCTGTTTCTTTAGTCTCTGCCTTTGGTGGCTGGTTCTTGTACTCTGGGTTTTTCTGAGACAGACAAAAAAAAAAAAAACTATGACATATATCCACAACTTTGTTTTTCCAGTGATTCATTCTGATACCTCTTAAGGCTTCCTGTGTAATGGCTAAGCACCTCATAGCAGAAGGGTATACTGAGGTCTCATCCATCTGTTTCTTTTTACTGCTAAAGATACTGTTGTTGAAAACTCATCCGACACAATTGGTAAAGATGATTGTTCCCTGCCTTGGTCATCTAAACAGGCCTCACTGATCCAGATTCCTGTCCACACTGCTATGATTATCTAAGGAGAGATTGTTATTGAAGCTAAGTGAACATTTTACTATTCTTTCTAAATTTTTATAAAATTTTCTGGACATTACTGGGGCTTGAACTCAGGGCCTCTCACTTGCTATGCAAATGCTCTACCACTTGATCCATACCCCCAGCCCTAAATTTTTATAACCTTCAAGTTCTCCATAACAAAAGGTTAAATTTTTTTTTAAATCTAACAGTATGATGTTAGTGAAGTAAATTATAATACATACCTCAGAACATTCTGGCTCCTTGAAGTAATGGTTGATTCCAAGTGTCAGTGTGTATTGAAGTACTCCTTACAAAGTCAAACTGAGAACAGTTTGCAGCAAAATAAACAATCATGGAATTAGATTATAATCCATAGGATAAAATATATATCTATGAGTCCATAATGATAAAATAAATTGTGATTTTACAGTGCTAGGGATTGAACCCAGGGCCTCACACATGCCAGACAAATGCTGCTATATCCCCAGCCCTTTTTTAATTGTATTTTGAGACAATCTCACAAAGTTGTGCAGGCTGACCCTGATCTTGAAATCCTCCTGTCTCAGTCTCCCAAGTATCTGAAATTACAGACCTGCACTACCAATTCCTGGTGAAAATAAATTCTTAAATAAAGGAGAAGAGACAGCCCTTACAGAATTCAGTAATGACTGCTAACAGTGTCCCTTGTGTTAAGTCATGATAATAATTGGGAGAAGCAACAGCATACTAACTGGAAATTTAAAAGGGAGATGGTGCCCTGCACTGATGGCTCACACCTGTAATCCTAGCTACTCAGGAAGCAGAGATTAGGAAGATCTCCTTATCCTCCTGAAGCCAGCCTAAGCAAATAGTTAGTGAGACCCTATCTTGAAAAAAACCTTATAAAAAAGGTCTGGTGGAGTGGCTCAAAGTGTAGGCCCTGAGTTTGAACCCCAGAACCGCAAAATAAATCAATAAAATAAAAGGGATATCAAAGGAACAAGATAGCCAAAGAATGTCTTGGTAAGATCCCATGGTGATTTAGAAATCTGTGTACATGCCCGAAGTTATTTCTGCTTACGACAGACTTGATAAGCTATTAGAAGCTACAAATAAGTAAATAAATAAATAAAAGAAGAACCAGATATAATGCTGGCTACTTAGGAGGATCATGATTTGAGGCAGTCCAGGCAAAAAGTTATAGACACCCCATCTCAATCAATAAAGCTGAACAAATACCTGTTTTTGAGTTAGCTAAGCTATTCTGGGAGCTTAAAGAGGAAGACTGTGGGCCAGGCCAGCCCGGGCATAAACATGAGACCCTATTTGAAAAATAACTAAAACAAAAAGGCTCTACGGGAGTATCTCAGAGTGACATCATAGCAAGTACAAGGCCCTGAGTTCACACCAGTACCACCAAAAAAAAAAAAAAAAGAATATTGGAACATTGATGTTAATTCTTTAAAGTTCTGGTAGATTCATCAGTAAATCCATTGGGTCCTGGATTCTTATTTGTTGGAAAATTGTGTTACTGCTTCAATTTTAATACTTGAGGTGCATCATTAGGCTATTTATTTGCAATCTCTGGGGTTTTTTAAATTTTTGTTTTTGTTTTGTTTATGTAGATGCTCATAGCTATAAATTTTCCCCTTTGCCCCCACACTTGCTGTAATACAAAGGTTCTAGTAGGTTATGTCTTCATTTTCACTAGATTCTAGGAAATTTCTAATTTCCCCTCTTATTTTTTCAATGACCCACTGAAAAATAGCGGAAAACCCTTTGGAAGTCAGTATGGAGGTTCCCGAAAAAACTAAAAGTAGACCTACCTTGGGTGACTTTGATCATGTATCTGAAGGAGTCTAAATCAACACACAAGAGAGACACCTGCCTGGCCATGTTAATTGCAGCTGTGTTTATTATAGTCAAGGTGTGCAGTGGGCTGAGGTGCTCAACAACCAATGAATAGGTAAAGAAAATATGGAGCATAGAAAACTATTCAGCCATAAAGAAAAATAAAACTATGTCATTTTGCAAGAAAATGGATGGATCTGGAGAGCATGTTGAGATAAACCAAGCTCAAAAAGCCAAATATCACATGTTTTTACTGATTTGTGGAATCTGGATGCAAAATAATGCTGATAGTAATGGGACCAGAATGTAAAAGGACGACTGGAGGGAGGAATGAGTGGGAATGGGGGAGAGGATACACACATATATACACACATATATACGATAAAGATAGCATAAGGAAACCCACCAAACACTTTGAATGGGGGGGAGGTGGGAGTGAACTTGTTCAAAGTATACTGTACCCATCTGTGGAATTATCACAATGAAACCCCCTTGTAATATCAACGTTTGCTAACTAAAAGTAAAAAAAAAAAAAAACGGCTGGTGGAGTGGCTCAAACGGTAAGACCACCTGCAGAGCAAACATGAAACCCAGAGTTCAAACCCCAGTGATGGTAAAAAAAAAAAAAAAAAAATAAAACAAATTGTAGTGAACCATTTCGCTGTAAAACAGTGAATGAAAAAAGGGGGAAATAGGGTCAGGTAATTCTCACATAATAGTGTTATTCTTTGAACTGGCAAGCCTGGCCCATCCCCCGGTCTCCGCTGACCAATCAGAGGCTGGGAGCAGAAAGAGGGCGAGTCCTGTGTCCCCGGGATAATCAGCAAAGCCAAGTAAACAGAACCATCCAGCTGCAGACTGGGCGAACACAGAAAAGGCTACCAGCAAGCTTAACGCTCAAAGTCCACATAATCCAATGTGTGTAAAATTTAAAATTACTTTAGCAGGGGAAAATGCAAGTAATCAGTTGAAAGCATTTGAGGAGAAATGCGGGTTGAGCATTTCCTTACAACCGCAGCAAATAGGACGCTCCTGGTAGGACCTGGGCACCCACGGCCAATTCGCGCTCAGCACCCAGATGTGGGCCAGATGACAGTCCTCATCTCACCAGTTTTTTAACTTTGCTCACATTTAGTGAGAAAGTAATCATGAGTCAGAAGCTGTCAGTTCTGTGCCCTGGGCGACAGTCCTAAATCCTAAACTCTGAGGTGACAGGTCTCTAAGCCAGCCCTTGCTGCGGATGACTTGGTGAGGCGCTGAACATGCGAAAGAGAGATCATTTTTTTGTGTCTGGGGACTTTATCTTTTCTGCACACCACCATGACTTGTTTCTGTTTTGACAAGTGGAGGAGACCAGAGAGACTGGGGCGACTGGGCGACTCTGTTGCGGGACTGCTGGCCAATGCGACAGCGCGTACCATGCGGGGGCTCCTGTCCTCTTCGCTGCGGTGCTGGGCTTAGCGCAGGACTCCGGAGCCGGTGAGTAGGGCGCGGGGAAAGCCGGCTGGCGCAGTTGCTTGCGGGAGAAAATCAGGGGGGCGAGAAAGACCCCGATCTGGAGCCTCAAAGCACTTTCAGTTCAGGGGTAGCCTTCCAAAATCTTGGCGGGAGCGATCACCGACTCCCTTCACCCGAGGACAGTGTCTGGCAAAGCGGCGAGGACAGCGTCTGGCAAAACGGCGTGTGGTGCAGCCAAGATGGAAGTTGACAGAGCTCTGAGTTTCTGTCTGTCTAGGATCTCAAAACAGACGTTTTTTGGAGTTTCGGAACCACTCAGAAAATTCAGGGTTGGTGAGGATTTAGGACAGAAGGCGCAGTGGTAGAGCACATGCCTAGCACGTGTGAACACCTGGGTTTGACCTGTAAAATGAAACAAAAGATCCCCATCCGTTTGTTATGTATCATTCTTGCCCTTTTTTTTTTTATTTTTTATTTTTAAGCGATACTGGGGCTTGAAGCTAGGGCATACACTTGGGGGCAAGCACTGCACCACTTGAGCCACTCCTCCAGCCCTGTTTTGTATTGGGTTATTTTGACATAGAGTCTCTTAACTTTTTGCCTAAGGCCGGCTGCAATCCGGTGGTTCATGCCTGTAATCCTAGCTACTCAAAGGCAGAGATCAGGAGGAGAGAGGTTCGAAGCCAGCCTGGGCAAATAGTTCGTGAGACCCTATCTCAGAAAAAAAAACCCTCACAAAAAAGGGCTGGTAGAGTGGTTCAACGTGTAGACCCTGAGTTCGAGCCCCAGTACTGCAAAAAAAAAAAAAAAAATTTTGCCCTCCCAAAATTATTACAATATTTTCAAGTGAGAGAAATGTGACTATGCTTAATTGTTTTTTAAATTTATGCTTTATAGGCATGAGCTACCACCCAGCTACTTAGGAGGCTTTGATAGGAGGGGCAAAAGAGCCCTGGCCAAAAAAAAAAAAAGTTAACAAGGCCCTATCAAAGAAGAAGCAGGCATTGTGGCATTCCAGCTCCATGGGAGGCAGAGGTAGGAGGATTTCAGCCCAAGGCTGGCAGAGGCAATAAAGGCTGACACCCTATCTGAAAAATAACTAAATCAAACGCAGAAGAAAGAATAAGAAGGAGGAGGAGGAGGAAAAAGAAAAGAAGGAATAAGTCTCATGCCTGTATTGTAGCTATTTTGGAGGCTGAGATCAAACAGACCAAGGTTCAAGGCCAGCCAGGTAAATAGTTAGCATCTCCAAAATAACCAGAGCACAATGGACTGGAGGTGTGGCTCAAGTGGTAGAGCACCGCCTAACAATCACGAGGCCTGAGTTCAAATTCTGTACTGTTACTAGAAAACTGGTCCCTGGCCTCCATGCCAATTCACAATTTACAAATAAGGAGAGCAGGGTTTTGAGGAAAAGGAAATAAGGTTTATTATTCATCAGATTAAGAGGCGGACAGGGAAAGTCAGCCTTTCAAAGCACCATCATTACACTTCTGAGAGAAAATGTCCACCATTTAAAGGGGAGTTCAGGGGCTCAGATGACTGAAACGACACGCAAGTGCACCATGGCCACTGGCTTTGATTCTCCAATTGTCCGCGCCACTTCTCTGAAGCTGTATGTGTTGGCTGGCAGGTTTACTGTACTGTTGGTCAGAGAGCTGGACGGTGTAATTGGAGAGCAAAGGGAGTTATTCTTCCTTACTGGATTCTTTAGCAATTAGACAAAGAGGGAAAGAATGTCAGTTTAATCAGCAAACAGTTATCTGGTCAGAATGCCAGATTTTTTTTCTTTTGTGATCCCTGTTACATTTCTCCCACTGTCAGCTTGTTCCGGGAAAGAGGCAATGCAATCATCTAACTGCTTTCTGCCATTAGTTAATTCCTGGGCCCAAGTAAAGAGTTAGTGCTCCTCAGCAGAAGCATCTTCTCAGCCCCTGTTACAGTACCACACACCCACACATAAAAAAAAAATGTCAGGACTTAACTGCTGAGTGAAATGTCTCCAGAGAGAAAAGTCATACAGAAAATGAAGCAAACTCATGACCTTTGTGTGTGGCCACTCAAGAATTCTGTGAGTTTCCCCAAGAATGGAGGACTAATTGTACTGATCACACTTTTTTTTTTTTAGAATCTTGCTGTGCATGAGTAAGAGATATTTCCAATTAAACCTTGTGACAAAGCCTCAGTGTTCTCACCTCTAACATAGTTAAAATGTCCACTTCAACCTGGGTGTCAGTAGCTCATGCCTGAAATCCTAGCTACCCAGGAAGTTGAGATCAGGAGGATCGAGGTTCGAGGCCAGCTCGGGCAAATAGTTCATGAGATCCCATTCCAAAATAACTAAACCAAAATGGATTGGAGGTGTGGCTGTGCCTTCTGATCTCTGAGTCCTAAGTAGCTAAGATTATAGGCATGAGCCACCAGTGCCCAGCTGTGCATTTCTTATCTGACTAAATGGACAGTCACCCAAGAGCTGGATGCACTCAACATTAAAAACAATAAATAATTTCTCTTTAGCTTCTTTTTTTTTTTTTTTTTTGCCCTTGTTTTTTTTTTCCCTCTCCACACTCCTGTCCTGGACATGGTATTTGATTATTATGGTATAATAAAATTAATTATGTATCTGCTGTATATGATTTATGCTCCTATTAACTTCGTAAGGTTCATGGATCATTCATTTAGTTCTCTCTCTCATACATATATATGCGTGTGTCTGTATAAGAATAGTGTATACACTTACGTATTTATGCTACGTACTTGTGATGGTTAATTTCACGTTTCAACTTGACTAGACCATAATCATAATATTCAGATTTTTTTGGCAGTACTGAAGTTTGAACTCAAGGCCTCCTTGTGCTTGCTAGGCAGGTAGTTTACCACTTGAGGTGCACCTCCAGCCTGATAGTCAGATATTTTTTCAAACATTCTGATTGTTTCTGTGAGGGTGTTTTGGGATGAGATTTACATTTAAATTGGTAGATTTGGGGCTAGCAGAGTGGCTCAAGTGGTAGAGTGCCTACCTAGCAATGGTGAGGCCCTGAGTTCAACCCCAGTACCACCAAAAAAAAAATTTGGTGGATTTTGATTTTGAGTAAAGCAGATTGTTCTCCATAATATGGGTGGATCTTACCCAATCAGTCAAAGGCCTTAACAGAGAAAGACTAAGCTCCCTCACAGAAGGAATTCTGTCTCCACCCTGCCTTCGGACTCAAGTTGCAACATCAGCTCTTTGTTACCAGTCTGCCTACCCTACAAATTTTGGATGTGCCCCCACCACTGCATGGGACAGTTTGCATTTGTCCCTGCAACTACATGAGACAATTCCTTTGTCTTTCTGTGAAGTTCCCTGAGATAGCACTGTTACAGACACTAAGAATACAGTGAGCAACAAGAAAGAAAACTTGCTGGTTTGTGGACTTTATTGGCAAGAGATGGTGAATAGGTAATCGTGTGATGTTCCTTGATCATGTAGGCACAAAGCAGAAGCAACTAAGCTTGCTGGGGCTGAGGAGTGGGGAGAAAGTTGAGGCCTCCCTCAGAGAAAAAGTTCAGCAGCTTAAAGGGTACAAGACCAGTGGTAGCCAATAGGTAGGGGAAAGTGTTCTAGATGAGGGAATTATAAGTGCTCAAAAGTTCTGGGAAGCCACATCTGTAATCTTAGCTACAACAAAGGCAGAAGGAGGAGGATCACACTTCATGGCCATCCTTGGCAAAATTGGTGAAAGCCTACCTCAAAAAACTTAACTAAAAACAAAAGGACTTGGGGGTGTGGCTCAAGTGGTAGAAAGATTGCCTAGCAAATCACAGACCCTGAATTTAGCCCCCAGGACTACAAAAGAAAAAGAAGAGAGAAAATAAGTTCTGGAAAAGAAAGGATGCATTTGACAAACAGAAACCAGATCCCAGAAGGGCCAGCTAGATGGCCCTGGGCCTTTTTCCCTATCAGCTTCATTGTTACATACAGAAGTTGAAATGTGCAACAGGAAGTGACCAACCCAGTAAACAGGATATGATGAGATCTGGCAGTGACAGTAGAACAGGGGCATGGAGTGGTGGGTTGGGGACTCACCAGAGTTGAGATGCTATAGCATCATAGCAGGGACCTAGAAGAGAGTCCGGCTTCACAGAACTTAGACCTCAGCCATGCTTCAAGGGTGTTTCCAAATCACTGCTTCTTCAGATCCCTGGATTGCTCAATTGAGAACTCCTTCATGGGAATTTCTTTTTCTCTTCCCCTCTCCCCACTCCCATACTGGGGAATTGAACCCAGGGCCTCATGCATGCCAGGCAAATGCTCTACCACTTGAGCCACACCCCCAGCCCTAGTGGGAACTTTTCATTGAGGCCTTGCACTTACATTTCTTTGTCAGTTCTCTGAATTCTCACAGTTGCATAATGTGTGGAATTTGAGCCACTTTTTTGGGGGGTGGTACTGGGGTTTGAACTCAGGGGCTCATGCTTGCTAGGTGGGCACTCTACCACTAGAACCACTTCACCAGCCCCTGTGGGGAATTTGAATTCACTTGGGCTGGTGGGTTGTTCTGCAACTGTGTTCCCATTGTTCTATGTGTCCTGTCTTTTTTAATACACACATACCGGGAGTTGGGTCCTCAGTCAATAAATACCATAGCTTACTCTGAATCCATGGTTCCTACCTCAGGGTTGCACTCTCTGCAGTATTTCTATAGTGCTGTGTCTGAGCCAAGTCCAGGAGTCCCCACCTTTGTTGCCTCTGGCTTTGTGGACGGCCAACTCTTCATCCGCTTTGACAGTGAAAAGAAGAAGGCAGAGTCTTATGCTCACTGGTTGAAGGAAGAGCCAGGTTACTTTGATGATGAGACCAAGATCTTCACAAATCGGATGAAGATTTTCCAGCTAAGCCTCAGAAACGTGCAGCAATACTACAATACCTCTGTGATCCAGACTGCCAGCACAGATTTCCCACAACAGCAAGCAGGTATGAGCCCAAGAGAAAGCCAAGGGAAGCAGAGCTGACCACCTCACCCAACCCTCAGAGACGCGAGGCCCTCAACAAGTACCTTGACAAGTTGTCACTTGAGACAACTGGCCTAGTCAAGGGCTAGGGTCTGTTTGATATTAATTCGTTCAGCATTCAGCAGTCTTGACAGGATATAGATCTATACCAAGTTCACATCTTTGAGTGCTAGAAGTGGGGAATCAGAAACACATATCTAGCTGGGCACTAGTGGCTCATGCCTATAATCCTGGTTACTTGGGAGAGGATTGTGGTTCGAGGGCAGCCCAGGCAAATCTCCAAGATAACTGGTACAAAGTGGACTGGAGGTGTGGCTCAAGCAGTAGAGCACCTGCTTTGCAAGTGTGAAGCCTTGAGCCCAGAACCGCCAAAAACAAAAGAAAATCACATCCTAGTGTCCACAAAATGCTTACAAATACTGTAGGGAAGTACCCTCATTTCACTGTGACATTTTCATACTTTCATACTATGTGCTTCAATCATACATACGCTATCTTGTCCCCTTCCCTTCTCTCACTGGTCCTCCTCTAAGCCCAATTCGTCCCGCTTTTTGCCTTCATGTCTTTTTTGTTCTTTTGTTTTTAAATCTAGATTCCACACTGAGAGAAAACGTGCTATTTGTCTTTCTGAATCTGGCTTATTTCACTTAACATGATGATCTCCTCCGGTTCAATCCATTTTCCTGCAAATAACATTATTCTGTACTTCTTTATGGATGAATAATACCCCATTGTGGACTAAGAGCCTTTCTATACTTTATGGATGCATAATACTCCATTGTGGGCCAGGCATGTTGGCACATGTCTGTAATTCCAACATTTTGAAAGGCAGAGGCCGGAGTCCAAGGTCAGCCTGGGCTGCATAGCAAGACCCAGTCTCAAGGAAAAAGCAAAACAAAAATACTCCATGGTGTATCTAATACCACATTTCCTTTGACCAGTCATCTGTTGATGGGCACCTAGGCTGATTCCATGACTTATGAGTTTGTGAAGGGCCCTTAAGCCAGTAAGTGATATAATGAAAGCTGAAAAAGTGAGGCTGCTTCACTTGTCACCAGTTGATTCTAAAAGGAACAAGTATTCAACAAGGTTTGCCACAATTGGTACAGATCTTGGCATAGTCACAACTTTCAAAGGGCTCCTGTAGTAGCAGGGGAGACACAACATCCAGTGGAGTTGGTATAGCATGTGAGTGTTGTTTTAGGTGCCTGGACCTGAGGATTGTGAGAACCCCAAAGCAGGGCACAATTAATCCAAGCTGGGGCCATCTCAAAGCTAGTTCAGTCATATTGGAAATTTATTAAGAGGAGTTTGCAACAAGAGTTGCTCCTTATTAATGCTAAGTTTGCATTCTCTAGACCTGGAGGAAAATTAAACTGAGCACAGTGTGTCCTTTTGAGGTAACACTGGGATCCTGTTTCTAGGAAATTATATTTAGAATCTGAAATAGTAAGCACAGAAGGAGATCTATGGGTTATGCCCTAACCCTTCCATGTACACAAGGCAAACAGAGAACTGTGGAGGGTAAATAACTTGTGCAAACAACACAGTTCATGGAAACCCCTAGTCTGTACCCTCCTGTCCAGTGTTGTTTCACTTCATCATGGAACCTGGTATAAGCCACTGTCCACTGCAGAGATGACAGAAAATAAAGGACATCAGAATCAGGGACCAGACTAGGTTGTTAAGAGTGCGAACATCTCCCAAGGAGAAGCCAAGAAAAGTACGAGGGTGGGGGAGCAGGGACCATGATGTAGAGGTCTTGAGGGTATGTCTGCCCCTGCTGATTTACCTCTCTTGCGGAATGATAGGACCCCACACCCTCCAGTTCACCTATGGTTGTGAGCTGCAGGAAGACAGCAAGACCAGGGGGCACTGGCTGTATGGCTATGATGGCAAGGACTACCTGACTTTGGATATGGACTCTATGCAATATACAGCAGCCTCAGTACTTGCCTACCACACCAAACAGAAATGGGAGGCCGCTGGAAACTCAATAGAAAAAGACAAGACATATTTGGAGAATGAGTGCATCGTGTGGCTGCAGAAATACTTGGAGCTTGCAGGGGAGAATTTGAATCGAACTGGTAATGACCCCCCCCACAGCCCACCGGCTCAGCCCTCCCACACCTCCCTGGCAGGGGCCACTTCTTTCTCCATAGCTTGCAGTGGGAGTGAAAGGTGACCCTCAGGATGACTCCAGCACTGGGTGGGTGGGAGCTGAGAGCAGCTTTCCCACAAGCATATGTGGGTTGGGGGCACCCCCATCTTGAGTCTCCTGGCCAGTGCTACCTTCTGATATCCTCACTGGGGCAAAACTCTCAGGAAACCTCTAGGTACATTCTTGGGCTCTTGGGTGCTTCTCACACTTCTGCCTTCTTCCTTGCTAGAGACACAGCTGTGAGTATCATGGACCATTAACTAGAAACACCAAGGGCTTCATAAGAGGGTGGAGAGGCTCAAAGTGGCTTTTCCCATGGATGAAAACGTTGGGACTGAACATCCAGGTCTTTTTCTTGGATCCTTGTTTAGCTTAGGATGGGTTCCCTCCACACCCACCCTGATGACACCTGCTATCTAGTCCTGTCTGGCAATCAAAACATCAGAGTGATGATGCCTTGGTCATTAGAGCAGATGCTATTCAACAAGTCTTTGCATGGGTCCTCCCTGCTTTGTCTACCACAGAGCATCCCAGGACACGTGTGACCCACCATCCCATCTCTGACCATGAGGTCACCCTGAGGTGCTGGGCCCTGGGCTTCTACCCTAAGGAGATCACCCTGATCTGGCAGCTGGATGGGGAGGACCTGAGCCAGGAAATGGAGCTTGTGGAGACCAGGCCTGCAGGGGATGGAACCTTCCAGAAGTGGGCAGCTGTGGTGGTGCCTTCTGGGGAGGAGCAGAGATACACGTGCCATGTGCAGCATGAGGGGCTGCGTGAGCCCCTCATCCTGAGATGGGGTAAGGAGGGGGCGTGGGCATGGACTGTCTTCTTAGGGAAAGCGGGAGTTGTTCAGGGGACCCTCAGCAAGGTCAGGGCTGAGAGCTGGGGATCAGGGCTCCTCACCTACTCTTCTCTTCTCAGACCCGCCGCCTCTGCTCACCACCCCCAAGAAAGTTGTGTGGATTGTAGCTGTGATGAATGCAATGATCACAGCTGGCATACTATGCATAGTTGCTCAGGTGGGTAAGGAGGGCTGGGCTTCCTCCTTCTGACCTAAGGGTGTCTAAGGGTTGAATTGCAATTCCTGCCTCTGTTAATTTTGTGGCCAGTGTGGTGACATTCTATAGTATGGCAAAACCTAGGAGGGACCTGGCCAGAGGGAGGACAGGCTCTGAAGTTGTGGGGGGAGCGGGGGTTACAGGCACTAGGACTGTTATAGGTGCCCCAATACCAATGGCTTCCAGTTCCTGTGGCTGCCTCTGGATTCCAGGAGCAGGGGACATGAGGCCCAGAAAGTCTCACAGCTCCTGGGAAGTGGGCCTGCTTCTCATAGGACAAAAATTCTCAGATGCCTAAATTTCTTACAAGTGATTAAGTGAGAATAAGCCAAACTGCATTAGCAAATCTGAAGGGAGTGTGTAATGTGCGTGTTTGTGTGTGGGTACATGCATATATGCAAATACGTATGAACTACTGTATGTATGGGGGTCTGTGTATAAGTGTGTGTATGCAAGCATGTATGGGTTTTTATATGTCTATATTCGTGCATATTTATGAACAGAAATTGTGTGTGTGTGTGTGTGTGTGTCTTGATCTAGGTCCTCTTTATACTGGCCTTATACTGGTTGTTTCACCTTCACCCTACAGGTCAGAAGGAAAACAGATGCTTCCTATTTGCCAGCAGGTAAGAGGGAGCTGGGATGAATATTGAGAACTGGTCCTCATGACACTTGTAATAAAGAAGCAAGCTAAATGGATGGATCCCACTTTACAGGATTCTGCCTTAATAAAAATATCAAGCGTTCTGAGATTTACACAAATTAAGTTACTTAAACCTCCCAAGAGCCCTGTGACACAGGGACAGCTAAGGAAAACTGAGGCCACTAAAAGGTTAGATGACTCAGTGGACTGGGCCAGGACTCTAAGGAAACAGTCTGACTACCCAGTCCATACTTGGTAGTTACCCTCACTTGGTTATGTTGACTCCCATACCTGTCCACCTGCCACTTTATTGGTAATCTCCTCCTGTGGGCTTTGCCCAGCATCCCTTTCCCCACTGGGCACCCAAATTGGCTGGGAGTCATTGCATTTCTCATTGTCCTTACAGTTGGGTTGTGAGGTATAAAGTGACACTGCTGATGCGGTATGCTTGCTGGAGGTGGCAGGAAAGGGAATTTGCATCAGGATGTGTGAGGTGGGCTTTTCAGAAAGCTGAAAGGTAAAGACATCAGGAGTCATGTGCTTTATTCATCACTGTTTTATTCCCCATCCTAGAGAACATATGAACTTGGTCTCTGATGCCTTTCCCTCCAGCTGAGCCCTCGTAATACCTGCACTCCAGGGTGGATCTGGAGGCGTAACCTAACCACATCCCTGCCTGCCTGCACTTCCACTGTGCCTGCTACAGGATCCCTGAATGGTGTCAGAAGAAAACAACTAAGATAGGAAGAGAATTTAACATTTTTGCTGGGAAAGCAAAAGTATGTGTCTTCAAGAATAGCTGCCAAAAGTATGTGTCTTCAACTAATGTTGCTGGGAAAAGTGGTTATCTACCTGCAGAAAACTGAAACTAGATCCATGCCTGTCACCCTGTACTAGTATCAACTCAAAGTGAATTAAGGACCTTAATATCAGACCCGAAATCTTGCAGTTAGTACATGAAAGAGCACGAATATCCTAGAAACAATAGGTATAGGCAAGGACTTCCGCAGTAGAACTCCAGCAGTACAGTAACTAAGAGAAAGAATGGACAATGAGACTACATGAAATTAAAAATCTTCTGCACAACAGAAGAAATGGTCTCTAAACTGAAGAGACCACCCACAGAGAGGGGGAAAATATTTACTAGCTATATATCAGACAAAGGACTGATAACCAGAATATACAGGGAGCTCAAAAAACTAAACTTCCCCAAAATTAATGAACCAATAAAGAAAAGTGGGCTCTCTTGGGGATATACCCAAAAGACTGTTACTCCAGAGGCACCTGCACATCCATGTTTATTGCGGCACTATTCACAATAGCCAAGTTATGGAAACAGCCAAGATGCCCAGCGTGACGAATGGATTAAGAAAATGTGGTATCTATACACAATGGAATTTTATGCAGCCATGAAGAAGAATGAAATGTTATCATTTGCTGGTAAATGGATGGAATTGGAGAACATCATTCTGAGTGAGGTTAGCCTGGCTCAAAAAACCAAAAATCGTATGTTCTCCCTCATATGTGGACATTAGATCAAGGGTAAACACAACAAGGGGATTGGACTATGAGCACATGATAAAAGCGAGAGCACACAAGGGAGGGGTGAGGATAGGTAAGACACCTAAAAAACTAGATAGCATTTGTTGCCCTTAACTCAGAGAAACTAAAGCAGATACCTTAAAGCAACTGAGGCCAATAGGAAAAGGGGACCAGGAACTAGAGAAAAGGTGAGATCAAAAAGAATTAACCTAGAAGGTAACACACACGCACAGGAAATTAATGTGAGTCAACTCCCTGTATAGCTATCCTTATCTCAACCAGCAAAAACCCTTGTTCCTTCCTATTATTGCTTATACTCTCTCTACAACAAAATTAGAAATAAGGGCAAAATAGTTTCTGCTGGGTATTGAGGGGGGGAAGGGAGGGGGGGGAGGGGTGGTAAGGGAGGGGTAGGGGCAGGGGGGAGAAAATGAACCAAGCCTTGTATGCACATATGAATAATAAAAGAAAAATGAAAAAAAAAAAGAAAAGAAAAGTGGGCTACTGAACTAAACAACTTTTCAAAGGAAGAAGTCCAAATGGCCAAAAAACACATGAAAAATACTCATCATCCCTAGCCATAAAGGAAATGCAAATTAAAGCCATACTAAGATCCACCTCACTCCTGTTAGAATAGCTGTCATCAAGAACACCACCAACAACAAATGTTGGTGAGGATATGGGGAAAAAGGAACCTCATAACACTGATGAGGGAATGCAAGCTAGTACAACCACTCTGGAAAACAATATGGAGGCTTCTTTAAAAACTAAACATAGATCTGCCATAGGATACTGTACATGTGTAGGGCTGAATGAAACTCAACAACTCCCTAATCACCCAGCAGCATATGAACTCACCCACTCCTTAAGCTATAGGCCAAATTCCCTTATTTTATATTATTTTTCCACACAGATGCTGACCATTTGAGAACCATTTTTTTCCCATCACATTTTCCACATACTGCTGCACCCATGGCAAACACTGAATCTTTTTGTTAATTGTTAGAAAATAATGGGTTTCATTATGACATTTCCATTCTCGCATACTATGTACTTCAATCATATCCAAACTTCCATGCCCTTTCTTGTCCCCCTCCCTCTTCCTGTTAGTCCTCCTCCTCCCCTAAATAGTTCCCTTCTACTTTCATGCTCTTTTTTAAATCTTGATTCTACATATGAGAGATAGCATATGATATTTATCTTTGAATCTGAGTCTAGTTTATTTCACTTAACATGATGATCTTCAGTTGCATCCATTTTCCTGCAAATAACATAATTCCATACTTCTTTGTGACTAATTAATACCTTTTCTTTATTTTCTTTATCCATTCACTGGTTGATGGACACCTAGGCTGATTCCATTGTCTGCCTATTGTGAATAGTGCCACGATAAACATGGAAACATGGGCGTGCAGGCATCCTTAGTGTATGCTGACTTTGGATATATGCCCAAAAATGATATAGTAGGGTCATAAGTTAGTGCTATTTTTAGTTTTTTGAGGAACTTCCATACTGGCTGGACTCATTTACATTCCCACTATGAGTGTGTAAGGATCCCTTTTTCCCTGCATCCTTGCCAGCCTTTGTGTTGTTGGTTTTCTTGATAATACCCACACTGACTGGAGTGAGATGGAATCTCAGTGTACTTTTGTTTTGAGTTTTCTTTATAACTAAGAATGTTGAGCTTTGTTCATGCATTTGTACTTTGTGGGTTTGGGTTTTTTGTTTGTTTGTTTGTTTGTTTTTGCAGGGCTGGGGTTTGAACTCAGGGCCTTCAACTTGATCCACTCCACCACCCCTATTTTTGTGATGTGTTTTTTCGAGATAGGGTCGCAAAAACTATTTGTCTGGTATGGCTTTGAACCATCAAATGTGGTTGAAGTTTTATGTATTCATGTAAGAAAATAAAACAATGTTGAAATTCTTCAAAGAAGGTGTGAGTGGGAAAGAGAGAACAATGTAACAGTAAATCTAAGATCTATTGTAAACACATGTAAATATCACAATGTACCTCTATACAACTATAATATGCTAATAAGATACAAAGGGCTAACCTGTAAAAACAAGTAAAGTAAAGACGTTCTCTATCCTGGGAGCAGCTTTTCTGCCATATCCCTGAAAATGTATACCTGCTCCAAGAAAGGCTGGCAGCTTCCAAACTGAGAGATTAGGAGTCAGGAACAAGCAAGGCAAGTAGGCAAAAAGTTCAACAACAACTAGTTGGGAGTCACACAATAAAACAGAGAAAGAAAGTTAAGTCACAGAATATTTTTCATTCCTGTTTCACCATAAAGCAAGTGTTCCAGAACGAGTCTGCAAAACAGGATTGGCCTTAGGCTCAGCTACTCAGGAGAAGCAAGGGGTGGGAGGAGAAGCAGGTTAAGGACTATTTCCAGAGTTTGAGATCCAACCCCCTCCAAACTAACTCAAGACATGGCCATAAAAGGAACCAATGAACCTGCATTGGTTCAGCTCCTAGTTAGCACATGAGATTGGGTAACACCACTTACTGTGGCGAATAAAAATCCCTAGATACTGCAGTGTCATTGGCAACCCACTCAGGACCCCTCTCTTCCCATGGGACCTTTCATTCTTTTCCTTAATAAACTTTCCTGCCTCTAGGCTCATCCTTCCTTGCTTGCCCTTCCTTCTTTGACTTCCTGAGATGAGAACCCAGAAAGCACTTGTGCACAGAGGGGATTCCCTCCTTGTGCACACAGGCAGGGATCCAATTAGGGACAGAGAAAGACCTTGTGGACAGAGGGTGAAGGAAGCCCAGGCAAACTGCATTGGAGGGGAGGGGAATCCCTTCTCACTGGAGAAGTTCCTGCCTTACTTTCACTTTCTATTTCCAAATAAATCTTTGCTAAACTCTTTCACAATTTTCCTGCCTCCTAATTGTTTATCCAGTAGAGAAAAAAACCCATACTCCTAGACAGTAACAGGAGGTAACGGAGTTTATTAAACATTAAGGAAAAGAGTTACAAAAGACCATGGTGGAGCTGGAAGCAGAGAGAGCGTCTTCCTCTTTATAGGGGCTTTAAAAACCTACCCTAACCTGTGGGAAGGGAAGCACCTGAAGATTCCCAATAAATGAGGAGGGGTATGGTCATCCCTGGGCTGGTGTGGGGTGGTTTGAGTTGTCTCTGGGCCAGGGTGTGAATAACCTATACACATTTGCAACTGACAAAAAGACTCAGAGAAAGAGAAGAATGTTCAACCTGAAATACAATATGAAGTCATATATGTTTAAAGAGTCCTGAACTTTTCCTATCTTAGTCTGCCTCAGGGGCAAATAGTTTCTTTGAGACCTATCTGGAAATACCCAACACAGAACAGAGCTGGTGGAGTGGCTAAAGTGGTAGAGTGCCTGCCTAAAAGTGTGAGGCCCTGAGTTCAACCTCAGTACTGTCAAAATAATAAATAGATAAAACAAAAGAACATGTAATAGAGGGACTGGAATATGATCAAATACATTATATACTGGGTCTGGAAGTGTCACGGTGAAATCCCTTAACATAGACAATTTAATACATAAAAAGGAAATATTTTCTTGAGCTTTTTTAAAAATTTTTGTAATTATTAGCTCATTTTAATTATACAAATGTGCTCTTTTCCATCTCATCTCCAATCGGAATTGAGACAGAATCTCAATTAATCCACCGATTCCCCCAATCTCTCTTTTCTGAGCTTTGTCTGTAATGCTGACTCCCTAAAGCTTCCTTCCACCTCTTCGCTAGATTCACTCTACTTCTCTTTTGCTTTGTTTGATTTTTGGAGTTTTTGTTTTTGTTGTTGTGTTCTTGTTGTTTTGGCAGTACTGGGGTTTGAACTCAGGGACTCACACTTGCTAGCGGCTATCCACCTGAGCCACTCTGCTAGTCCCTTTGGGGTTTCTTTAGACATTACTTGTTCCAGGAAGCAGTTTCCCAGCACTTAAATTATAAAAATTTGCATTTATCAGCTTACCCACCCCTTTGGTGAAGCTCTTGACTCATTGAAGACTTTCAGAGAGCTAGCAACATAATAACTGCTTAATAACATGTTTACTCGTGCTGGAGGTTTGGTTAAGTGGTAGAGGGGCGCTGCCTAGTGGTGTAAAGCCCTGAGTTCGACAAGTACCAACCAAAAGTAAATAAATAATTTGCTAAATAAGTGTGGGTTTTTTCCTTGTAACTTAAATAAATTATTTGGGGGCTAGGTGTATGGCTCAAGTGGAAGACAGGCCATGAGACCCTGAGTTCAAACCCCGCGTCCCAACCAAAAAATTATTTTTGAATAACTCAATACATGCAGGAGGTTAAAATTTTTAATAATAAAAGTGTATAATTTGCTGACACCTGCGGCTCACACTGTAAGCTCTAGCGGACGTGAAGCAGAGAT